AAAAAGGATTGCTTCAAAGCAGCCTTTTCTTCAAGCACAGGTGAGGGCCACAAAAGCTGGAGTGAGCAGACCTCTAGTGTGGGAGCTTTTGGAGTACAGGCATGGCTTTTGTTCCTCAGACTACACTGAGGGACTAGTAATCAAGGCTGTCAGAGGAGAGACAAGAGGAGCATCACAAGAGTGCTGTCTTCAGAATCACAGAACCTTATATTTCCAGCCTCAGTGATGGGCATAGCCACTTGCCCAAGTCAGAAACCTGTCAATCATTTGCTCCCCATCACAACCCACATCCACGTTTACTCCTCCGTAACTCAGCTACTGCTCTAGTTCAGGTACTCCTCTCACCTGGAAAAATGCAAGGGCCCCTCTTACTGGTCTCTCTGCCTCTGGTTAACTAATCATCCTTTCTAAAACAGTTATCATGACACACCTTGGCTTAAAATCTCTCAGTGACTGTCTATGGCCTTTGTCATAAAACCCAAAGCACCTTCATACAACCTCTCCAGCTGCATCTGTAGGGAAAGTGAAGGAAAATGGTCAGGGCCCCTCAGATGTTCAGAATCTCACCAAGCATTTGATGTAAATACGAACATGCACCCACGTGTTCCTTGGCTATTGTCTGATGTAGATGCACGTAGGCACCTAGATATTCCTGGGCTGTCTGACTCACATTTAGGTGTCCTGGGTTATCAGACTTAAGTATAAAGGACAGACGGCTCTGATCCACAGGGTCTCCCCGCCCCTGGGACGCCCCTACTGCTGCTGGAGGCTGTTGTTGCCAGGGCCCCAGGGATGCCCCAAGAGCCCACTGCTGCTGCTGCTGCTGCTGAGGAAGCTGAGGGCTGAGCTCGTGTCATCTGCCAATGACTCCTGGGATCTTTCCCATTACCTAGCTCATGGACCTGCATGTGAGGGGCCTATGACCCAGTCTGTACAATAGGCTTGAAGGGTCTGTGGGCCCTAGCCCTCCCTAGCATGACAATTGGCTATGTCGGCAGGATTCTGACAATTAGCCTAGCAATACAGTATCTTGCCTTGAATTGTTATTTAGCTGACTCTTGATTGGCCTCAAACATCAACTTAAGCAACACTTTCTCTTGCTTTCCCTGACAGCCCTTCCCCAGACTGTTAGATGTTCTTCCTCTATGTTCCTCTGTCATCCTTTCTTCAATCTTAGCATGTGTTTATCTCCTCCGCCATGGGAAACGCTCCTTAAGCACAGGAATCACACCTTTCACCTCCTGACTCGTGATACAAATAGCTAGCACAGGGGAGGCTCTCCAAGTGCTGGTGACCCAAAGTTGAGT